GATGGGTTCCTGGCCTTCCCCCTGACCTCTTGCCTTATGTGGGAGGGTTTCCTGGCCGTCCTCCTGGATTGTTATGTTTCATTGTTAAGTCTATTTTGTCTTGTCGTCCCTTCTGTGTGGTCCTTTGTTGGAGCGTCCGGTGTCTGCCCCTTAAAGCGGGGGTTATGTCATAGTTTGGGTTTTTTGGCTTCTGTTTTTGTATTATGGTTAGGTTTTTTAGGTTCTGTTTTGTTCATGTGGGTTTTCTGTTTTCCTTTTTGTCTCAGGTGTGTTCAGTTCTGTGATTAGTGTTGCTTCCATTTCCTCAGGTGTTTTCTGTTAACTCATTAGTTGTCCTGTGTATTTAAGCGCTGTCTTGTCTCTGTGTCAGTGTGCGATCATTGTGCTGTTAAGCGTGTCTCGTTCTTCATGTTCCATGTTCCAAGAGTTTTCGCTACGTCTCTCAAGTGAGTTTTTTCAGCTGCCTCGTCAGCATTTTGATTTGTAAATAAACTCTTTTTTTTTTGTTACATTTGAAATCTGCCTGTGCCCTGGGTCATTCTGTCTGAACCTGACAATTACCACCCATTGCGAAGGGGTGTGTGTGTCTTGTATTAAAACAAGTCATGACTTCCTGCACACATCATTGAAACTTGCAGGAAGTAATTGCATGTACTTCCACAACTGACAGAGGTCAAAAGCTTTCACATCCATTACTCTGTGTAAAACTACTGGTTTTAAAAGTACTTACAGTATAAAAGTAAAAGAATTGTAAAAAAAAAATGAAACAGTAATGCTACAGTATGTTCACACCAAACACGTTTTCAGCAGTAAAACTGCGCCCAACGCCTCCAGTTGGATGCTCTACGTTCAGACCGGGACAGAGACTAGATGCACGTCTGAAGAGGGAGGAGTGTCTTGGGTTTTTCCTGTCTGTCTTTGGCAGATGAAATAAAATATAAAATAAAGATGAAATAAAGATAAAATAAAGAAAATGGCTTTGCTTTATTTACTAAAGAGCAAGCGAATGTTGCGCTCACCCGATAATTATTTCACTAGATAATTTAGAGGTGGTTTGTTCGGTTTAGTTTCACCACTCCAGGAGCTGCGAGCTGACAAATTATTTTTGTCCTGTGCCCAGTTTAACACCACGGTCAGTTTAACGAGCTGCTGATATCCCCAGCCAGAACACCAACTGTAGATGGTCGATTTCAGCTAAAGAGCTCCTGTCCGTCTGTTTTGGGTTAGTGGGCAACATTCAGGAAACTGTCACGTGGAAAAATGAGTCTGATTGGTTGACACTGCGCGTCAAGCAGAAAAAGTTCATATTTTTTAACTCGAGCGTCGGCTACTTTCGCCGCACCGCATGCACGGAAAATGCTCTACCGCTACCTTCCGCGCCGCACTAAACAGACTAGACTCGCTGTGAGACCCCTAGAGGCACGTCCACCATAGACTTTACATGTAAAACGGCCGCTCCTGCAGCTCAAAACGTCTTCAGTGTGAACGTAGCATTAGTTTGAATAGTGCTGGATTTGACAGCTGTCTTCGACACAGTGGACCATCAGATACTTCTGTCTCGCCCAGAGAACTGGGTGGGCGTTAAGGGTTCTGCTCTACATTGGTTTATCTGTCAGAGAGGAGCTTTTGTGTGAGTGTCGGAGCTGTTGAGTTTTCTGTACCACTCATGTGGTGTACCTCAGGGCTCTATACATGGCCATCTTCTCTTTTCCATTTATCTACTCCCACTAGGATCCATTCTCCAGAAACATGGTGTCTCATTACATTTTTATGCTGATGACACCCAAATGTATTTCCCACTGAAACAGGAAAATCAATCTTCTGTGAACGTTTTGAGATCTTGATTCATACTTGTATCACAACTCGTTTAAACTACTGCAATGCACTTTATGTTGGGCTGAGCCAGTCGTTACTGTCTCAACTTCAGCTGGTCCAGAACGCTGCCGCTCACCTTTTAACTGGTACCAGAAAATGATGCCATATCACCCATTTTAGAATCACTACATTGACTCCCAGTTTGTTTCCGAATAACTTTTAAAGTTCTACTGTTTGCTTTTAAATGTCACTGGCTTACCCCAAAATATGTCTGACCTGCTCCAACTTTACACTCCCTCTCGTGCCCTCAGGTCAGCAGATCACTTTCTCTTGGTCGTCCAAAGTCTAAGGCTGAGAGGTGATCGAGCATTTTCAGTCACTGCCCCTAAACTGTGGAATGAGCTGCCTTTGCACATTGGACAGGCTGACTCACTTCCTGTTTTTAAATCAGCTCTTAAAACACATTTTTCTCCTTGGCTTTTAACCCAGTTTGAGATGTTGGTTTTAATATATTGGCTATTGGTGATATTTGATATTGGCTCATTTCACTTAGTTTATTGTTTATATGAATGCTTTTATATGTTTTTAATAATGTACAGCACTTTGGCCAAGGTGTTGTTTTGAAAGTGCTTTATAAAAAGTTTGTATTGTATTGTAAGGACAAAAGCTTAGCCTGCACCACAGAAATCTTTAATGCACAACCTACCAAAAAGCATTGTTCTAAAGGCCATAATGACTATAATGTTAAACTAAAATATTGACCAGGTCAACATTGTAAATGAGAATTAATTCTCAACTGGCTTACATATTAAAATAAAGGCTTATATAACGTTGAAAAATTTAACATAACCTTGTCTGGTCAGAGATTGTGAAAATATCAATTTATTGTTTGTGTATAAAAATCACCAAAACAAGTCCATTTCAATGATTAAATCTCTGTATACCAGTCAGTTTAGTCATTTAGTTTATTTATATAGCACCAAGTCCCAATATACATCATCTCAGGGCACTGTGTAACAATCTATGGAAGCTATAAGGTTGTGTTGAATCACTCAGTCACAGTCTCCCTCCTTCATTAATTATTTTGATGAAGGGAAAGGTTGAACACTTCTTTGGGAGAGGTGGGGAGTAGTGAGGGGTGGCTCATCTTGGTTTGGAAGTAAAATAGGGAGCTTTGAGGGAAATAGGTTGGAACCACTGCACCAGGGCCCTCATGCATAAAGGAGTGTGCAGCTTTCACACTAAAAGTTGGCGTACGGACAAATTTAGAAAAGTGCTCCGCACAAAAAAATTCAGATGTATAAAACAGTGCGCACGAATGTTCCTGCGCACCTTTCTTTCCTTTATACATCCGAACGTGGAACTGAGCGCACGTGAGACACCTCCGCTGACAGCCTCCATTTAAATCTGTAAAATAGATGTAAATGTGTCCAGTGTGTGAGATTCTCCTCAGATTGTCCTCTCTGTGGGATCAGAAATGATTTTTAGATGCAGGAAAATTATACATTAAATGGAGAATGAGTGAGAAAACTGTCTAAATAAGTAGAGGAGTGTAAAAAATGAGTTTGCCACACGCAAAGGTGTGTGTGGGTGTTGATGTGTACGTGCATGTGTATGGGAACAAATATAATCTTATGTATTTTGTACTCGTAAATCAGACTTTGTACTTGTAGAT